TATTAACTCTCATTATGACCACTACTTAGAGTGGATATTCTTAACCGTCCAGGTTAAATACTGACCTTTTGAAATTGGTATTAGGTAAACCATGTCAATGAAATCAGATGTTTTGAATTTGTATTTAAATATACTCTTAAGTTATATTTATAGATTACATTTCCAATACCACCCAAAACAAAAGGTCTGTATTTAATACAGTAATAATTATTCTAGCCCCCTTTTTCTTAGTGATTTTTTAACCATTACGTATTATACGGTAATGTGGATGTATTAGGTAATCATATTATGTAATATATATAAATAGATAACTTATATATATAAATTACATAATAATAATACCTCATACTTTTTTATTATACCTGACCTCTATATTTTAACCTGTATCCAGCCAAACGGTTAAAATACAGGTTAAGAATATCCACTCTACCACTACTACTATTATTATTATTATTATAAAGATTAATTTATTAAAGATAACCCTCCGCGCAGAGATGTCTAATTAAATAAGATAATTTAATTGATTCCTAAGATTAATGTTTCTGATTTTATAATTTATTGTTACTTAAACTCATAAATCTATAATTTATTATAAATATATTATATAATATATAACGACTAAGACAATACTATAAGGGTGAATATGATGAGATAGTGTGAAGAGTATATCTTATTCGCGAACACAAATGTAGGGTTGATTTTCTTAAAGTATTGTTGCTAACTATCTTCCTTTCTCTATCCGCGAATAGTAGAGTATTCGCGGGTAGCCTGTGGGTCACGTGATGAACACTAGCCGGGCCTCGCGGCGGAACTGCTATCAGTATGGACATTCCTCGTGATTAAGTTATCGCGAGGGTTATAAGGATTTGAGTCCTTACAAATACTGAATCTAAAATATTTTTAAATTAAATTTTTTATTAAATATATTTCATTGCTGGTAATCCTGCTTGAAGATTTTTTAATGAAATATTTATTATATCAAAATAATAGTTTAGAAAGTTTATTATTAATAACTCCAGAGGCCAGGCACGTTTTTTAACAAATATAAATAATTGCCAGAAGACAAGACAGAAGTTAGCTGAAAGATAAAAAATTTAGAAAAGCTAATAAAAAATTAGTAAAAGAATAATAAAAAAATGAAATTTATTAAATAAAAATTAATTTTTAAAAATATATAAAGTAGCTTGATTTCCAGGAAATAAATTTTTTTAAATGTTATTAATTTTTATGGATACACTGATTTTATTTAAATATAATTAATTATTATATCTTTTAGATTTATATATAATTAATAAATCTTATTTTTTTTTATAATAAAACTGGTATATAATTCTTTCTGAGAAAAATCTTTTTTCAGGAGATTTACTAATTATGTCAAGGTGCGGGCTGGCGGGGTGGTAGGAAGGAAGCTTGAACAGGAAACAGGAACAGGCAGGAGACTGGCTGATTAACTATAATCAGGCTATATACAGAGAGATAAACAAGATGTAGCTTAAAGTTATAAACAGAATCTAGAAGACTGGTATATTTTATATCTTTTTAAGTTATATATCCAGATAATCAGTCCGGGCTATACTCTATAATTAGTATTATAATAGTATTCCCTTCTTTCTTAAGCCGAGCTCCTGCGAGGAGAAGATCTGGGCTTATCTAGATAATAATAATAAAAATTCTTAATAATCTAATAAGTATTTTCTAGATATTCAGCAGGCTCTGTAGTAGGATTAATATATTTTATTTATTTAATAAAATAAAATAACTAGGATTAGCCTTATCCACAGCAGTTTTAGAAGAAATCTAATATATTCTTAGTTTTCTATTCTTTAAGATTATTAATTTTAATATAAAAAGAAAAAGACTGGTACTAATCTGATAATAAATTATTATTAATAAAAATAAGCAGGCTTATATAAAATACTAGATAGATCTTTACACTGGATAAAAGTATTAAATAATAAATATATAAATTAATAATTCTTTTAATTAAATATAAGTCTAGAATATTCTAGTTAAGTTTCTTATTAAATTATAATATCCTGTAGAGTGGTTAACGGCCAGGGTAGGTTAATGGTAAACGGTTAAGAAATTTAGCTGACGGTTAAAGTATTTTATAAGAATTGAAATAGATATTAAATATTTATTAAATTAAAAAGTGTAATACAAACTAGATGATTATATAATTAATTTTTAAATTAGATATTACATAGAAATTACCATAAAATACCCAACGGTTAAAAATTACCATATAAAATAGGCCTGAAATTGATTAGTCATGTATTACATACGGATTAACCGTATTAGATGATAATATAAATGTAATTTATAAATAAATAGTATATATCGCTTTGAATTCAATTTTAGAACATTGAATATCTAATTATTTATATCTAAATACAGATTTTAAGAGCTTGGTTTTTAACCTGTATTTTAACCGTTAACCACTCTGATATCCTGATAAATTAAATATCTGATTTTTCTAGAATCTTAAATTAGAATAATATCTTTTATCTATTTATTTCATGTATCTAGCTTAGGCTGTAATTATTTTAATTTATATAAATTTAATAATTATTTATATTTTAATAATAAATTATTCTGTATTTTTAATAGTAAATTAATTTAATATAAATATAGGTTTAAATTTTAGACAGGGGTAGAAGCTGTAATTAATAAAAAATAAAATAATTTTAATAATATTAGAGTAAAGAATATTTAGAATAAATTCAGTTAAAAATAACTAGCTAGATTAATTATCTTGTAGGTAGTTTATATAAATATAAAAATATTATTTAAATATAATATTTATCTGCTTTATCTATCTGTTAGTTTCCAGGTAATAAATTATTAATAATTTATTTATAATATCTAAATACTAGATTAAATATTTTTAAAAATTAGTAATAAACTGGGGGCCTCTATCAAAGATAATAAAATAAGATAATTTATATAATTTCTATATATACTGGATATATATAAAAATTACAGTAACAGTATTAACTATAGTACTGTAAAAGATTAAATACTTTATTTTAATTAGATAATTAATAATTACTAGTACTGTATTATAATTCTTACTTTCTAGTAAATAAATAATAAAATCTATAAATATATTTTACTAAATATACTCTGGAACTAGTAAAAATTTCAGAATATTTTATTTAATCTTCTATAAGAAGATTATTTTTTAGTAAATGTAATAATTTCTTATTTATTATTCTATATAATAATACTAGTTTGGCCAGTAATATTCTCAGACTAAAAGTTTATAAATATAGAATCTTCCGGGATGCCCTAAGAAGAGTTTATTATAAATTAAATAAATTAAATTAATTCTCAGATCAGTGTAATTAAAAATTTATAAATAATTTTTACAATATAACAGGCTCTTTTTTTTATAAGAAATTAAGAAAATACCTGGGTATTAATTTCTGTCTGTTACTAATATTTTTAGAATATTTAATATTTATTTATTTTTTTTATATATATTTTACAGAGTAGTCTGGATTTCAGAAAACAGTTATAAATCTTATTTATTTTTAAAAGTGATCTAGATTAATTATTAGATTACTGGAACTAGAATAATTCTATAGAAATCTTCTATAGAACTTCTCTAGATAGCTGGTAGGTCAGATTTCTATAATTATTTAAATTTATTATTAATAGAATAGATAGAGTCTAGAAGATATCTGTAGAAGTCTTTTATAAAATTTTTATATATAAATAATAAACTAAAGTCTTTCTTTATAGAATAAGCAGAGTTTAGATTCTTTTATTTAAATATAATCTAGCTTTAGTATAATAATTATTTATTTCTTTTTTTAAAAAGATTCTCTAATCTTCTGGTCAGACTGTTAAGCTTAATTTTATAATATCTAGAATAATAAATAATATAAAAATTAAAATAAAATAAAAATTTTAATTATCAGGTCTGGCAGCAGTTCAGAAGTTTAATAAATATAAAATATTTTAGATTATAATAATCTGTAATAACTTAGATCAGGAACAGGATTTTTTCAAACTCTAGATATTATTTTTTAAAATAATAAATAATTATAAAAGATTCTTTATTATAGATCTTATAATTATACTCTGTTAGAATATATTTTTTAAAGAAAAAAATAATAAAATATAGCAAGCTGTTATTATTATACTAAAATAAAATTTTAGTAAAGATATAATCAAAGATATTAATTTTAAATATTATTTTATAAATTTAATTAAAGGGCTGGAGTACAGGGGTATTAATAAAAGTTTTTTATAAATAATTAAAGATATTTTAGTAGATTATATTTTACTGGAAGAGAATATTTTTTTTAATAAAGTATATAAATAGAGTAGTTAACTTAAAGAAATCTTATATAAAATAATAATAGAAATTACTGAAGTCTAGAAAGACTTGTATATTAGTAATATAAATTAAAATAAATTAATTAATAATAATTCTGATTTTCTCAGAATTTATGTAGAACCTGTTACAGCTTATAATAAGATTTAAAAACTTAATTTCAGAAATAATAAATTTATATTTAAATAATTTAATAAACAGGCTAGCTGTATAGAACTTCTAGAAAATCTTTTTAATATAATTTAAATACTTATTTCTGGTTTAGCTGTGAATAAAGATATTATTTAAATAAGTTATATAAAATATTTCCAGATAATCTTATAAAATATTATTAATATAATACTAAAAGATAGCAGGGACTTCTGATAACCTGAATAATATAATTAATAATTTATAAAGACTTAGTCTTATATAGAATATTATTAAATATTTCTAGTCTTTAATAATCTGGATATTATTAAAGATATTAATAATATTAATTTTAATAAAGTACTGTATTTTTTTTAGATTATTTAGAGTCTCTTTAACCAGCAGCAGCGGGTAATAATTCTTAACTAAAATTGTCACGGGGCATACTGGGTGCGCATTCCAGGTACTTCCCGCTGCACTATTAGCAAAAGGACTAGGATATAAAGCTGATGGCTTTACACTGCGCACACTATATAAGGGTATTCAGGAACAGGATACAGGCAGGATTCAGGCAGGCACCGTGACAAAAATAATATTTAAAATATAATAATCTATATAAAATCTCAGATTTTTATCTAGTTTCTTGATAAACAGAACTAGAAAGATTATTAGAAAAAAGCTAGAATAAATAAATTCTTTTTATAAATTCTTGACTAGTTATTTATAGAGAACTATTAATTCTTTTTAAAATATTTTATATAAAGATCTGAATAGCGGGATCTTTTCTTTCTTTAAAATAATAATATAATTATAAATATAATAAGACAGGAGCTTCTCTGTTTCCTGGAATAAAAATATATTAATAAATTTCTAGAATTTCTTAGATAATTCAAGCTTTTCCTGGTCAGGGGCAGCGTAGAATACTATATTAAACTAGATAATAATAATTATATAAATAAGATAATTTTAGTAAATATATATAATATATATATTTAAAAAGACAGGCTGGATATTTTTATTTCTTAAAAATTTAGATAAATATATATTTACTGGTCGGGCGCAGGCTGGGATATTATAGAAAATACAGACTTTAATTAACTAGATTAAAATATTACAAAGTTTCTGGTAATAGAAACTGGTAAATTAAAAAATATAATTAATAAAATTTATATAAAGATTATAGAGCTTCAGCCAAGATAGATTAATTATAATTAAAAAATAAACTAATTAGATAACTAGAAAAGAAATATTTTTTTTAATATAATTATATATCTTCAGAATAGCTCAGGTATAATAGATAATTATTCTAGTCTTATTCTTATAGCTGTTAAATCCTATGATAAATTTAGAATATTTTAAAAAATATAATAGTAATTACTGGATCTCAGTCTAGCTTTTATTTATAATACAGAATATAATACAGCTGGTATTAAATATAATATAAATAAAAATTTATTTTTTTCAAGATTTAGTATAATAAAAGTTACTATTAAGTCAGTTTATTAAAGTTTTTTTTGATTAAGAGTCCTCTAGTAATAATTTTAGATAAAATATAAACTTATACTAGAAGTATAATCTAGCAGTAATTTAAATTAAATAAATTTTTTTAACTGCTTACTTAGATCTGGAAAATATAGATATTTTAAATATAATATCCTGACAGATTAAAGTACTGGAAAAGTTAGGAAATAGACTAAGAATAAAACTATGAATAAGAGATAATAATAAAATAATAAGTATATTTTAAATAATAAAATTAGATATATGGAGTAGCTAGTATACTAAATATAAATATTAAATTTAAAACAGTCTTAGATCAGATATTAATTAAAGCTGTAATAAAAATATTTTTCTTTTTTTTTAAATAGATCTAGACTGGGATAACAGGCAGTAGAAAATAAAGAGATTTATAAGATTATAATCTAAAATAAAAGATTTTTTATTAATAAGATCTGTAGAAAGCTTCTGCAGGACTTTTCTAAGAAAAATAAGATTAATTAATTTAATAAGTAGCTTCTAGGACTTGTTACAAGAATCTAAAGTATATTATAATTTTTTATTATTTAAAAATTAAAAAAATTATTATTTAAAAATTAAAAAAATAGACTAGAATATAGTAGTCTTTTTTAGACAGAATATTATTCAGAAATATAGCTTTTAATTTATAGTTAATATTTTCTTTTAATATTAAAAGTAATATATCCAGATATATTCTGGCCTGTTAAATTAGATATTAGAATTTAATAAAATAAATATTAAATTTCTAGTTACTCTATTTCAGATAATATAATTCTAATTAGATATTATAAGAATAATCAGAATCTTTAAAAATATATTATAAAAGTTTTAGAATCTTTATATAATCTGCTAGAATACAGATTCTGTTTTTAATATAAAACTAGATTTAATTATATAATATTCTTTCTAAACAGCTTATAATATAGAATATACAGGCTTATAAAATTAGATAGTAATTATAATTAATAAATATTTTTTCTTAGATCTGGAAGATAAATCAGATAAAATTAATATAGTTATTTTTAAACTTATTAAAATTAAAAATATACTCAGAGAGAAGAGTAAGAATAAAAAAATTAGAATTAATTAATAAAGCTATTTTTATTGAAGCAGCTATTATATTCTTAATAATAAATTTAAATATTTAATCAGAGATACTGACTGCAGGTATAACAGTTTAAATAATTTTTATATATTCTTCTAATATTTAATTTCTTTTCTTGATAGTAATCTTTTTAATAATAAATATTTTAATAAGCTAATAGTTAATATTTATAGTCTGCTGGACTTAGTAGACTATTATAATATTTCTTATAATAAGATTCTGCTAGAATTAAAAGTAATTATTATTTATTTTCACTATAAAGACTGAGATTTAATTATAGTAATTATACTATTCTTCAGGGTTTTCTGTGATATATTATATAAATTTCTTGAGTCTGTTAAGATTAATCAGGGATTACAGAATAACAGGTATCTAATTAATTATCTATTTTAAAAAAAAGTTATATAATATTAAGATACAGGCTGGCAGAGTAGTAAAAAGATAATTTAAATAGAAAACAAAAATAGACAGAAGACTGGCTAGCTAATTATAATTAGACTATATATAGAAAGATAGATAAGATATAGCTCGAAGCTATAAATAGAATCTGGGAGACTGGTGTATTTTATGTCTCTTCGGGTCACATGCCCGGGCGGTCAGTCCGGGCCGTACTCCACGGCTAGCACCGTGACAAATTATTATTTTTATAAGCATTTCAGTATTACTTTAAAAGAAAATACAAATAAAAGATTAATCAATTAAATATAAGTAGTTTTAGAATATTAGAAGACATATTTTTTTCCTAGATTTTCTTATAGTAAAAAGCCTAGATAGAATATTTAAAATTTAGAATAATTTTAATTCTTAGATTATTTTAATATTAAATATTAAGTTTTTAAGAAAAAGATGAAAAATTAGAAACAGAAATAAAAAGATTAAATAATTTTAGAATCTGATAAAATTATAGAAATTTTTTATAAAATTAATAAAAAAAGAAATACAAAAGAATTAAAAAGTATTTTATAATAATTTAATAATCTCATATAAGTTACTTACTAAATAACTTATTAAAAAATAAAAATATAAAATCTGACTTATCTTATTATATTTTATTATTATAAAAGAAAATCAGATATGCTAAATGATGTTAATTAATATTAATTATTTTAATTTTTCTAATTTTTCGATAAATATATATTCATAGTTATTATAAAGATAGATTTAAATATATATTATATTTTATACTAAAATTTACAGACATGATATTTTTTAAGATATTAAAAATATATTAAAGGTTTTTAAAAAATTTATAAAAATCTAAATTAATTATTTATTATAAAGAATAAGTTTTGTATTTTTTATAAGAAATTTCAATAAATTTTATATTTTTTAATTTTGATTTATATATTTTATAATTAAAGCACAGGTCCCTATATTAAAATAAGAAAAGATATTTTATTATAAATTATTTAATAAATTAATAATATTAATTATATTAAAAATAAATAAATTAAATATTATTTTTTATAAATTTATAAATTATTATACCCAGATATCTAACAAGCTAAAAAATCTTACAATCTAAAATATTTAAAAAAAAGCTTTTTTTACTGCTATAAAACTAGACTTAAATGATAGTTTTTCTAGAATTTTTATAATTTAATTTATAAAAAAAATAGATTACTACAGAATAAGAATAGTATATAAAAATTATTATTTTAATTATAAAAAGATTTATTGTTAAATAAAAAATAAATATCGTAAATAATTCAAGATTCTTGATTTAATAGAGTCTAAGAATATAAAAGCGAAAAGTAAAAAAATTCTTAAAAAAATTAATATCTAAAAATAATCTTTATTCTAAATGAAACTAATATTAATTATAAACTATTTAATATACCTATTTTTTAGATAATTTTAAATCTAGTTTTTTTATCGAAATTTTAATCTTTTATTTTAATATAATTATAAAGCTAAAATACTTATTAACTCTAGACTAAATATTTATAATTAAATATTTTAAATTCAATATAATTCTGTTAAATATTTTTATCTATATTTCAAAATTTAATAATAAATTTAAATAAATTTATTTATATAATCTAGATTAGATTTTATTACAAATAATTAATTCTTCTGTAGCGAGCTATTTCTAATTCTTAATATTAAAAATTATAATATAATCTTTTAATGAATATAATTTCATAAGTAAAAAGTTCTTTTAGATTATAGTAATAGAATTATTATATAGTCTAATTTGTTAAAAATAAAAAATATATAAAATAGATCTATTATAGATATCTCTATAAAAGAGTATTAAAATTAATATAATAAATCTTAGTCATAAAGTGAATAGGATTTTTTATTAAAATTTTTGTTAAGATATTAAATATATTTTAATTTATATAAATTATAAATTATAAATATATAAAAAACTTCTAGAAACAAAAAAATCTGAAAAATAACAAAAAAGGAATTATATTTATATAAAAATAGATATAATACTTCTATTATAATATATTTAAATATAAAATAATTTTATTTAAATTTTTGAACAGATCAGTAGCCTGTTAATAATTAATAAATAAAATATGTATAAAATATCTAGACTTCTTTATTACAGTATATATTAATAATATTTTCATTTATAATAATAATAAAGCTAAATATAAAATTTATATTAAGAAATTTTTAAGATATTTATAAGAAACCGGGCTCAGGTAGTAATTTATAAATATGAATTTTATATTATTTAAATTAAATATTTAGAATTTATTATTGGAAATAACAGCATGGTAGTTAATTTCTTGAAAATTAAAATAATTATTTTTAAAGTTTTATAATATTTATTATTATTCTATTAAAAATTATAATTAAACTACTTGATCTCTAATTTACTTAATAAAAATAAAATCTTATTTAATTAATTAGTATAATATTAAAAGATATTTATATTATTTGAAAAATTTCTGACTAGAATTTTTATTCTAATAATTTATAATTTAATATAAGAAATGAAACTAGAAATAAATATAATAAATAAAATTTTTATTAAAATATTTTTTTAAAAAATAAAAAATAATTAATATTTTATTATTATTTTTTA